TTAGATTCACCGTTGCGCTTTCACTTACCAAAAAACATCGAGGAACGCCGTCACCATCCATGCCCATCCTTACTTTTAAACGCGAAATCTTATGCATGTTTTGCAGCATGAAATTCTGACGAAAGGTGTCTAGTTGCCAGCGATGAAGCGTAGAATGACAGCCTGATCTGGGGGAAGACAATCTTTGCTAGCTGCCGAACGAAAATCTCTGTCAATACAATAGAAATCTGGAGGGCCATGGGTTTTTGCTTTATATGTTGATTAATTTATCAAGTATATTTAACGTGCTGGTGAAGCAGGCCAATTCAGGTTATATCAAATCGTTCGCAGATTTTCAATTACGCGATGGGAGGGAAGCAAACCACTTTGTTCCGGGCAGCAGTGTGCAAATCCATGATGTGATTATGAAGCTGAAAATCATCGGTGCTTTAGAAGTACTTAGGCTTATTATGTAATATTTATATAGTAAAACTATCTGCACCTTAAAGCTCCTACTATATTCATGGCAGGCTTACACATACCATTCGTTTACAGCGAGTTGGTTTTCTTTATGTTTTTAATTATTACTTTTTATAGCTTGGTCTTGATTCTGCCACTCCCCTTATTTTTGGCCGAAATTAATTCATTATTTGCTCTCTGGCACGCATTTCGTCGTTTGTCTTTTGTTATGTCCTATCCGTAAAGCTACAATTACCATCATTCCCGCGTTGCAAGCGTTTGAAAAGGTGGCTCGATAATCCTACCCTAGCCCGAAACATAAATGACTGTTTAATCCTGACGAAGCTACCTGATAAAATAATCCGCCGTCCGTCGTAGTGGATGAATTCCACAGATAATTTCGTTTTCACCTAACAATATATGTATGGCTTCAAAATGGAATGTTCACTTGGTGTGTGTTGATAAATTGAAACTAATGTTTGGAAAATTCCCTTTAGGTTCTGAAATGCCCAATGACTTGAGAGCAGTTGCTCTCAGTTCTCAAAGTATTCAGGTAACGTGGAAAGCCCCCCATTACACTCTGTCAGATGTAGCTGGCTACAAACTGATCATAGTGGGCAAGGGCATCAAAGAAACAGTCGTAGTCGCGAACGATGTGTTTTCGCACACGTTCTTGCGTCTGAACCCATCCACGGAGTACATCGTTTCCGTGCAGGTTAGCGACAAGGTGATGGGGCCGCCCAGACCAACGGGAACCAGGTCAGCGAGAACTTGGCCAACAGGTAAGTCGCCATTTTGCAGCAATCTGCTCCCTTTTTGCCAAAAAATCAATAAATTTGAAAAGTAATTCTTTGTGTAATCCTTGATGTTCATGGCAACATAATGAATATGAGAGGAGAACAACAGGGAATCAATGTCAGCTGACTGCGTTTTTCGGTTTCTCTCTATGATCTACGTTAGCATTATACCGCCGATGTAATCCTCTTCTTACACCAAATAGTTTGCTTCATACTTCAAAACAGGTATAAAGCAGATCTGTCATTTCTACTCAAGTGGCCAGCAGGTATCGCGCTGATAGCAGTGACTAGACAGTTCGACTGTCGCGTCCTGTGTGCATTCCAGGACGCTGGTGGTGACATTGTCTTGCGCTGTGTCTGTCGCACTCTCCCTTTCTCTCTCCACTGCCCAACACATTTGACTGCTCTCAAAACAACTAAACATATAGCCCGCAGTTAACAACATCAGAAATCTTTAAGGCAAAATTATTTTATGTAGTGTACCTCACATGGCCCCAGTCCCAATATTTTGTCCTACGGAAATGATGGTTATAGGGTTTTTGGAACGAAGAAATAGGTTAGGCATGGAAGTAACTTTTAGAAGTAAGGGCACAGTGAACAAAATGTAGTCGAACATATTATTTAGGAAGTTTGGCAGATTTCCTTAATTTAAGTTGAACCAATTGTGTAAAAGCTGGCGACATTCGGCGGAATTTGAATCCGCATAGTAGAAAAGGCCTTTATCGCGAAGACAATGCTCTCTCAGTTGAGCTACAAATGCCTCGCTTCACACCATCAGCTTAATCACATTTGGATCAACTTTACTCGCCCAACTTTACCACTCGTATGGAATCCACCAATAGGGAACAGCTAGCTGACTGCCCAAGCGAATCTGCCCAAATCGAATATGCTCCCCGCGGCCGCTGGGAGTAAGTTTTTGAGCATGTAATTTGAAACTGTGCGCGGTGGTTCGCGTCGAAGACTATATTAATGTAACTCCACAACGGTCTGTTCGGCCTCAAGTGAGTTGAAGCACACAACATTCTAACCACCATTTCTATTTTCAGGAATTTTAAGAAACCTGCAGTTCGATAATCGAGTTTTTCCACAACACGTTAAGCGATAGTACGGATTAGGAACATCTACAGAGATACATGAACAACATTTCTAAACACAATAAAATAAAAAAATGCGCATATCAGTTACGACTGCCTATCCTAATTTCCCAGCCATATGTTTCCTAGATTTCCTGAAATAGGCGGTCGTGGATTTCCACTTGATTCTTTTATTTTCAGTCCAAGAGGCGTGTGGGGGACAAGCATTTGCTCCTACCGAATGGCCTGCGAATCATTCTATGAAGCGCAAAGCCAATCGGCATAGCTGGCCTTGGAATGTAAGACCTTTTTTTAAATTTAAACTTTTTGAGGTTCACAAGCCTTCTTTTCAATTGTTTATTGTCAGTAAGGCTAGACACAAGTTTCATTTTACAAACATTTAATTTGGTGGAAAGTGATCACACAGTATTTTTTTAACAACACTCTACATCTATTTATTTTCATTGTTCGCAGTGTGTATTAATTTTGAATTTTTTGATGAACCCACAGGTTGGTCTGTACTCAAGCATCAGAGGACCCTATCCGTACTGCGGTGGAACACTGATTGCTCCTGATTGGATAATTACCGCGGCCCATTGTGTTGAAAGGGCCATGGACTGCATTGCCCCCCGAGTTGGCCTATCGTTCTCATACGAAGCCCTTACAAATGCCACACTGTTTGCCCGAATTGGTGACCACGATTTAGTAAAAACAGAGGCATCAGAAAGGGATCGTGTCGTCCAGAGCATAGTAGTTCATCCGAATTTTAAGCTGCAATCGGGCAACAGTGAACATGATATCGCCCTCCTGCGATTAGAAAAATCTGTCGTCGCTGGTAATTTCAATTGTCTTGTTTATTATGATCATTTGCGCTCTAACTGTAGCACATACCTATCTAACATAAGGGAACTTTACAGAATTGGTGTTCCTCTGACATATAAACTGATTCACTGTTTTACGCTAAATGCTAACTGCATTCCTTTTACGTTTACTACGCACCCATTTTATTTGTGATTTATGGGTGATCATTGCCTTCGTAATCTAAATTACCAGACCACATCGGAGGCTGTCACAGATAAGAGTAGGTCCATCGTCCGCTGCATATCTGTTCAACGTTTAGAGTTTAGCTAGGGCCGTTGAGTGCCTCACTCTCAAATGCCTGCATCCTCAAAATGCACCGAAATTGTCTGATCACTTTTGGGGCTACTTTTGGAAATCGTTGCCACCCTTATAACAAAGGTGCCCGCGCTATCCGTGAGCCAAAAATAGAGGTTTCTAACTCACGAATCTTGAAGCGCAATTCGGAATCCTATTTTTACTTAACTCAACTATGAGGTCACATTTTCAGTTCTAGTGACTCTGTTCCCTTCTTACTCACACATAAGCAGGCATGCACAACAGTGATTTCTGCTCTCAGACAGGACAATATCTTATATTACTTTTAGAGAAAGAAGTCGATTTTATCTGCCTTCCAATGCTAAAGTCGACTGTGCCCCTTTCCCAGGAATGCACATTCGCAGGCTGGGGCTCACTCGTCCATCTAAGCACTGCAGAATACATAAATTCGCCGGTCCTCATGGAAGGTAGATTGACACTTGAACCCGAAGAATTCTGCCAATCGGCTGGAGGTGTGCCCCGGTCTGAAGGACAAGCTTGCTTCGGAACACGCACTGCTGTAAGTCCGCCTTTTTTGGCTTGAGATCTCCAATAATGCGATTTAGGCGCACATTATTGTCAGTAAACAAGGGAAATGACCATGTCTGGCATATTAGGCATTGTGAAAAAGTCATATACAACTCCAATTGTTGAGTCACTCAAGACTCAAGCTTGTCTACTGTCCAAACCACTGACCTGCGAGCTCGTTGTCTTGCCGATTTAGGTTGGGGATATTGACAACCGCTGATGCACTT